GTTTAGGGCTTAGGGTTTCCAAGTTGCTGCAGCGCACGCAGCAAACTCTCCAGGCGAGGGTTTAGGGTTTAGGGTTTAGGGTTTCGGGTTTGGGGTTTGGGGTTTGGGTTTGGGGTTTGGGGTTTGGGTTTGGGGTTTAGGGTTTAGGGTTTAGGGTTTGGGGTTTGGGGTTTAGGGCTTAGGGTTCCCAAGTTGCTGCAGCGCACGCAGCAAACTCTCCAGGCGAGGGTTTAGGGTTTAGGGTTTAGGGTTTAGGGTTTAGGGTTTCGGGTTTGGGGTTTGGGTTTGGGGTTTAGGGTTTAGGGTTTAGGGTTTGGGGTTTGGGGTTTAGGGTTTGGGGTTTAGGGCTTAGGGTTTCCAAGTTGCTGCTGCGCACGCAGCAAACTCTCCAGGCGAGGGTTTAGGGTTTAGGGTTTAGGGTTTAGGGTTTAGGGTTTGGGGTTTGGGTTTGGGGTTTAGGGCTTAGGGTTTAGTGTTTGGGGTTTGGGGTTTAGGGTTTGGGGTTTAGGGCTTAGGGTTCCCAAGTTGCTGCAGCGCACGCAGCAAACTCTCCAGGCGAGGGTTTAGGGTTTAGGGTTTAGGGTTTGGGGTTTGGGGTTTGGGTCTGGGGTTTACGGTTTAGGGTTTAGTGTTTGGGGTTTGGGGTTTAGGGTTTGGGGTTTAGGGTTCAGGTTTTGGGTTTCGGGGTTTAGGGTTTGGGGCTTAGCGTTCGGGGTTTAGGGTTTAGGGTTTGGGTTTTAGGGTTTAGGGTTTAGGGTTTAGGGTTTAGGGTTTGCTGCAGGCTGCCGGTACCGGCATTGACGCTTTCTGGGACCCAACGGCGAAGGTCGAGGGTTTGGAGACGCAAGTGGCAGCAGACTTTGAAGAGTTCACGCAGTAAACCCTAAACCCTAAACCCTAAACCCTAAACCCTAAACCCTAAACCCTGGCTCCTACGCTCTTGCGAACCCTAAACCCTCACGGGTCTACCACAGCAGCAAAACCTGAAGCTGCAGCGAAGGCACTGAGAGTTTAAAAGCCCCTCCAGAATACCTGCTGCCCCTGCTGCTGCTGCTGCCGCTGCTGCTGCTGCTGCTGCTGCTGCTGCTGCTGCTGCTGCTGCTGCTGCTGCTGCAGGCTAGTGGGGGCAGCAGAAGCCCGCAGGCAGCGGCTGCTGCTGCGGCAGTCTCTTCGAAGGGCCCAAAAGCTGCACGACCCTTTGAGCAGCGAACACGCGCAGTACTTTGGCCAGATCGTAAACCCTAAACCCTAAACCCTAAACCCTAAACCCTCGGCGAGCGAACGCGCGCAGCCCTAAACCCTAAACCCTAGTTCCGAGACCCTGCAGGCGCCCAAGAGGATTTAGCCCGCAGCAAGGAAACATGAAGGGCTTCTCTCTGTCTCTTAGGGTTTGGGGCTAAGGGTTTAGGGTTTAGGGTTTAGGGTTTAGGGTTTAGGGTTTGTGGTTTAGGAGTCGGAGGCCCCCCCTTTGCCGCTGCACCGGCCAGAGCGTTTTTGGGACCCCAAAGAAAACATCCGCAGAGCTTTGAAGAACAAGAACTTGCCCATTACCTGGAAAGGTGACCCTAAACCCTAAACCCTAAACCCTAAACCCTAAACCCTAAACCCTAAACCCTAAACCCTAGGCGGTAGCGCAGAGCAGGGAGGACTGGACTGGCGCAGCCAGAGTGGCGACAGCGCAGCATATTTCTAGGAGGTTGTGTCTTCTTGCTGATGTTTAGGGTTTAGGGTTTAGGGTTTAGGGTTTAGGGTTTAGGGTTTAGGGTTTGGGTTTAGGGTTTGGGGTGGGCCCTTTGGGCGGGAGATTGCGCGGAGGGTGCGGCTGCGGCAGGAGCGTTTAGCGTCCAGGGTTTAGGGTTTAGGGTTTAGGGTTTAGGGTTTAGGGTTTAGGGTTTAGGGTTTGGGGTGTGCAGACGTGCACTTGCTGGGTCACTTCATCAGCAGCACGGGTTTGCTGCTGCCGCGGCGGCTCACTTTTGCTTCTCGACTGCAGCAGCAGTTTATTTACAAAGCAGCAGCAGCAGCAAGAAGAATGGGGCTTTTTCCTTACGACCGCCGCCCCAGCAGCAGCAGCAGCAGCATGCCTGTTATGGACCCCCTCCAGGTCCTGCTGCTGCTGCTGCTGCTGCTGCTGCTGCTGCTGCTGTCTTGGTGCTGCTGCTGCTGCTGCTGCTGCTGCGGCTGTCTTGGTGCTGCTGCTGCTGCTGCTGTCTTGGTGCTGTTGCTGCTGCTGCTGCTGTCTTGGTGCTGTTGCGGCTGTCTTGGTGCTGCTGCTGCTGCTGTCTTGCTGCTGCTGCGTTGCTGCTGCTGCTGCTGCTGCTGCTTTGCTGCTGCGGAAACCCTAAACCCTAGAAAGTGGCGTTTGAGGTGTACAGACACCTGCAGCGGCTCGAACGAACGGCAGCGCTCTTCTTTTTTAACAAATAAATTAATTTAATTAAATTATTTATTTATTTATTTATTTATTTATTTATTTATTAATTATTTGATTTGTTTATTTTTATTTATTTTTATTTATTTTATTATTCAGTTTCTTGCTGATGAACTGACACACCGCGTGGCGACAAAGAGAGACTTGAGGGCTGAGGCCATCTTGAGGGTTATGATGGACAAGTACCCCAGGCTGGACTACTACAGGCAAACCCTAAACCCTAAACCCTAAACCCTAAACCCTAAACCCTAAACCCTAAGCTCTTAATGGTTTGGGTTGCGGTTTGGGTGCGGCTTGAGTGGAGGGTTTCGGGGTTAGGGTTTCGGGGCTGCCGTTTGAAAGCTGTAGAGCGCCGGAAACCCTAGCTGCAAACCCTAAACCCTAAACCCTAGTTGTAAACCCTAAACCCTCGTTTTGCTGCTGCTGCTCCTCAGGTTCCTCCAGCTGCAGGCCCAGCTGACTAAAGAGCGAGAGGCTGGAGGATCTGCAGAGACTTCCTCCTTTGCTGCTCTGGTGCGGCAGCACCGTGTAAAACCTAAACCCCAAACCCTAATTTAGGGTTTTCTGGGGGCCTTGCTGCCCCCCGCCTCTTAGCGGATCCGTTTTCTTAATTTTAAATTTATATTTATTTATATTTAATTTCCACTTTTTTACTTTTTTTTTATTCATATAAATATGCAAACAAATTTCCCTTCGCCGCACCCCTTCTCCGCGCTGTGGTGTATAGGCAGCTATTTGGGGTGTATAGGCAGCTATTTGAGGTGTATAGGCAGCTATTTGAGGTGTATAGGCAGCTATTTGAGGTGTATGTACCACAAGAGCCTGGAGGTCTTCTTTTTTTCTGAAAAGAATTTGTCAAAAGAAACTTTTTATATTCTCGTCCAGCTGAATTCCGTTCGCGGCAAATGGCGCTTCAAATTCGCAGCTGGCTAGCTGAGTGGCTAGCTATCTGCTGCAGCTGGCTAGCTGCTGCAGCTGGCTTGCTGCTGCAGCTGGCTAGCTGCTGCATGTGCCAATCCTTGGCTAGCTGTGGCTAGCTAGCCACAGCTAGCTAGCCACAGCTTGCCACAGCCGTCCGCTGCAGCTAGCTGTGGCTAACTGCAGCTGCAGCTAGCCACAGCTTGCAGAAGCTAGCCACAGCTAGCCACAGCTAGCCGCAGCTAGCTGCAGCTAGCCACAGCTGGCCCTGCCGGCTTGCTGCTAGCGCCTCAGCTGTCTACAGCTGGGCGCAGCTAGCTGCTGCTGGCCGTCCGCAGCTACTAGCTGCAGCTAGCTGCAGCTACTAGCTGCAGCTAGCTGCAGCTAGCTGCAGCTAGTTCGACTCCACCGCAGCTAGCTGTTGATGGCTTGAGCTCGCCAGCTAGAGCTAGCTGGGGCCCAAGTTAGCTGTGACTGGCTCCAGCTAGCTGTAGCCAGCTGCGGCTAGCTGTAGCTAGCCGCAGCTAGCCGTAGCTAGCCCCAGCCAGCTGTATCTAGCTGTAGCTAGCTGTAGCTAGCCCCAGCCAGCTGTATCTAGCTGTAGCTAGCTGTAGCTAGCCGTAGCCAGCTGCAGCTAGCCGTAGCTAGCTACAGCTGTGGCTAGCTGTGGCTAGCTGTAGCTAGCTACAGCTAGCCGTAGCTAACCGCAGCTAGCTGTAGCTAGCCATAGCTAGCTGTGGCTAGCTGCACCTAGCTGTGGCTAGCTCAATCTAGCCTTAGCTAGCCTCAGCTAGCTGCAGCTAGCTGCCACAGCTAGCTGTGGCTATCTGTGGCTAGCTGCCACAGCTAGCTGCGGCTAGCTGTGGCTAGCTGCCACAGCTAACTGTGGCTAGCTGTGGCTAGCTGCCACAGCTAACTGTGGCTAGCTGCCACAGCTAGCTGCAGCTAGCTGCAGCTAGCTGCAGCTAGCTGTGGCTAGCTGTGGCTAGCTGTGGCTAGCTGTGGCTAGCTGTGGCTAGCTGTTACTCGACGCGGAAGGTGCGGACGTGGGGGTTGATTTTGTTGTTGAGTTTCGAAAGAACTCCGCCGGGCCCAAACTCAAAACTTTCTTCCATTCCCAAACTCCCCAGCAGCTCCATCGACTGCTGCCACTGCGTGGGGCTCGTTAGCTGCAGCAGCAGCAGCAGCAGCAGCAGCAGCAGCAGCAGCGGCGGCGGTGCAGCAGCAGCAGCAGCAGCAGCAGCAGCAGCAGCGGCGGCGGCGGTGCAGCAGCAGCAGCAGCAGCAGCAGCAGCAGCAGCAGCGGTGCAGCAGCGGCGGCGGCAACAGGGAAGCAGCAGCAGCGGCAGTGGAGCAGGAGCAACGCAGCAGCAGCAGCAGCAGGGTGGGCGGTTTAGGGTTTAGGGTTTAGGGTTTAGGGTTTGGGACCTGCTGAATGAGTTTTTGCTTGATGACTTGAGGGTTTGAGTGGAGCTGCGCGTCCACGTTGAGCAGCACGGGGGTTTGTGGGGTTTGGAAATCAGCAGCAGCAATTGCTGCTGCTAGTCCTGCTGCAGCAGGAGCCATGAGTGGGGAGTGGAAGGCCCCAGAGACCTGCAGCCGCATGCAGCGTTTTGCTGCTGCTGCTGCTGCTGCTTGCTGCAGCGCAGCAGCAGCAGACCGCGACACGGACACTGCGTAGTTCCCCGGACACAAGTAGTTCGCCACCCCACAGTACACGTCCCCGCTGCTGCTGCTGCTGCTGCTGCTGCCGCTGCTGCTGCTGCTGCCGCTGCTGCTGCTGCTGCTGCTGCTGCTGCTGCTGCTGCTGCTGCGGGCAGCAGCAGCAGCAGCAGCGCAGACGGCCTCGGTTTGCTGCTGGCTGAGGCCCAGCACTGCGTACATTTCCCCAGGGTTTGCTGCTGCTGCTTGCTGCATCAAAACCCCCCTTTTTGCTGTCAGCTCAACAGCAGCAGCAAAAGACAAAACCCCGCTGCAGCAAAGCGCGGAGTACTCTCCCAGAGAAAGCCCCGCGAAACAGTCTATTTCCAAGTCCTGCGCGCCCCACACGCAAACCCTAATTTAGGGTTTAGGGTTTAGGGTCTAGGGTCTAGGGTTTAGGGTTTAGGGTTTAGGGTTTAGGGTTTGCCGCCCCAGCCCGCGCTCCCCTGCGCCCGCGCCCGCAGCGCCGCGCCCGCCGCGCCCCGCCCCAGGGCCTAGGGCTTAGGGTTTAGGGTTTAGGGTTTAGGGTTTAGGGTTTAGGGTTTGACGTGTTTGCGTTTCCAGCTGGAGAAAAGGGCCACGGAGGCCGTCAGCAGCGCGGGCTGCGCAATTTGAGTTTCATTTATTTTTTCTTTTGGACCCTTCAGCAGCAAATTAAATAAATCGAAATTCAAAATTGCTGCTGCTTCTTCAAACAGCAAACGAGCTGCTGCGTCCCGCTGCGCGCACTCCACCCCCATTCCTGCAGCAGCAGCAGCAGCAGCAGCAGCAGCAGCAGCAGCAGCAGCAGCGGCGGGGGCGGGGGTGCCC